GTAAAACTAGAGACTGAAACACGGCAATTCAAGCCAAAAAGACCCAATAAGGCCAAAACAACCCGCTCGGGGCGATAATTTGCCGTCTACAAAGCCTACCTATCGCTAAACAACGTTTAAAAGGCATACAAAGCTTGAAAAAAGCCATTTTATGTAATTGTTTCCTCTCTCCATACGTTGGCTTTCCCCATAGAGCGCTTTTGGGCATTGGGCGCTTTTGGGCGTTGGGCGCTTTTTGGCATTGGGCGCTTTTGGGCATTGGGCGCTTTTCGTTTGGCGCTTCTGCCTGCGCGCTTTAGTGATTGGCGCTTTTGCTTTGGCGCTTCTGACATCCTCCCGCCAATCGATTACGCGCGGGAAAGAAAATGTATCTGCGCCTCTCCCCTGGGCGCCCTCTCTCGCCGCTGCATCTGTTGAACCCCCCCTCCCAAAGGGGGTTCAACAGATGCCGTCCTCATCTCTTTAATTATATTTGTAGAGCGCAAGATAAGATCTCGAGTTTTGGTTTCCTACAGTTTTTCTTAACCTTAAAGGAAATCGAAAATAAGAAAAATACAAGCTAGAAACAAGCAAACAAAACGACAAAAAAGAATCAAGGCTACCGCAAAAAGCAGGTAAACCGTTTACGCAATGAAAATTCTCGTGTTTTGTAGCCGAACGTAACGAAAGCGCGAGTACGGTATTGCAGCGCGCTAAAATGACATCTACAATTAGCGAAAAATTGCCAAAAACCCGAAGGAAATTTGCTCACGATAAAGGACGCCAGACACGCTATCCGTGCTTGTTTTTGCACAAAATAGCACCCGGTTTTCAGGCCAGAATCTACCTAAACCATAAAAATAAATTAAAAGCAACTCTCAAATCTTATAACTCGAGCCCGAGCCCGAGCCCTGCTCCTCCAATGGAACGGGTATCGCCCCCCGGCGCGGAGAGCATAAAACGCCGAATGGGGCAGCGCAGGCGACATGCAAATTTGCGGTTTCACCCGCTCGAATCGCCCGATTTCGGCTCGGGGGAACGGCCGCCGGGCGATTTTATGGATTTGCATGGGATTTGGGAGGGGAACGACTGATAGGCTGCGATTTGTCGGATGTGCGGGGGAATTGGATGAGAATGGGACCGGAAACAAGGGCTACTAGCGGGGTCAGAAGTTTGGTGCTATACATACCTCCCTTTTCTAAAATGCACCCAAAAGCCGGTTCGCTCGGCTGAAACTAGTTTTTAGAATTTTATATAATAAAAATACTATAGAGAAAAATAGCGGGTGACTGAAGAAAGCCTCTACATTTAACACTTTGCAAGAAACGGATTGGGTTTTTTGCATGAGCGGGGGGTGGATGTATCGAACAAGTCCAGAGTGCCTAGTAATACAATATTGAGTTTTAAAAAATAAGTAAAGTGGTAGAATTTAACTATATAGTTAGCTTTAGTGAAATTCAGCTACATTTCAAGCGAAAAAAAACGTTCTAAACTTTAAAAAATCGAAAATTGGCCATTTTTGGCGAAAAAATTTTTTTATTTTTTAAATAGAAATTAGCACGGTTTTACGTAGGTACATTTAGAAATAGTAAAAAAAAACAGATTATTAACACCTCCAGTACAAAATTCTCCCGCAAAAACTGTAAATCGATTTATCTCGGCTACCGTAACCTTCTAGTCGTTTTTTGAAAGCGTTCTCTTGTAGAGAATTTATCGCTCTATCGAACGAATTCTCAAAAAAAAACTGGCATTATTTCCTTCCGAGCGTACGGGGCTAATTTTACAAGTTTTGCGCCGAGCCGCTCTAATCGGCGGGTGCCAAGGCGTAAATGTGTGAAGCCGGCCGTATATCCCTCTTGAGGGGGCAATAAAAGACCAATGTGGGGTGCCTGTAATCGTGGAGTACGAACATTACAGCTGACACCGCCGGGTGACCGGTGGCCCCAGTAGGAGGAGGAGGAAGAGGAGCATCTGGTGCCCCCCGGAACGGCCATCACGTTTAGGTCAACCTGGGGAGAAGCACCCCAGCCAGGCCACAGCTGGAGCACCAACAGTTTAGCCTCAACGATAAACAACGGATCGTGCGGGGTATGGTATCGGCTTACGTAATGTAAAATAACCCCCGAAAAATGGCTGAAGCTTCGAGCAAAAATGAAACCAAAACGCGGGAATTGCACGGAATGCACGGGTTGAGGTGTACGAAGTAGTCCCGTGTAGTCGAAAACGCGGCGCTCCACTGAACACGTTAATCGATTGTCCTCTACGTGTTGCTTCGTAAAAATTAATAACAAAGACGCGGGAAATGCAAAGAGCGCAATGGGAAACCGGGTACAAAGTAGCGGTCGTACTAGAATTATCGAAAACGCGGCGCTCCACTGAACACGTTAGTCTATTGCCCTCTAAACATTGAATTTATAAATTTAGCACTTTAGACGTCTAAAAAACCCATTACGACATCTTAATCCCTTTAAGAATAAAAACCTCGACTAAAAACAGGCAAAAAAACCCATGCTACCCAGCCCAGCGTGAAACACGAGCCGATTTCGAGGCGACCCGCCGACAATAACCCGGGTAAATAGACGACGGTGTGACCTTGGGTCCGAAGTGTCTTGCGCTTTTTTGCGGTTTCAGGAAAGCCCGCGCCGGCAGATGGCCGAGCGATCGGCTCCAAATCGGGCTGAAATCGTCACGGCGAGGAGTCAAATATGGCTGAAGCTTTGCAACGAAATTAGAGGTCCTTTATGTGAAAAATCACAGAAAACATTATCCAAAAACGGCTATTTCTCATTGTTTCTACGGATTTTTTATATAAAAGAAAGCGTTTCCAAACCGTTTAGACTATCCCTAAGCGTGAAAACTTTACAAATTATCGGTAAAAACATACACAAATTTCGATTTTTCGACCAAAAACGGGCAATTTTCGACAAAATTTTAGCTAAAAATTGTCCGAAGTTTGTTGGCTTTTTTAACGTGAACTATATTTAAATGTTACTAAAAATACTATCTTACTAATTTTACTAGGCATTTCCGAAGCTTTAGAAAAAAATCCGCCTCTCCCCCGATATGAAAGAACCCTAAAAACATCAAGAAGGGCTTTACGATTAAAGGAGCTTCAACCGTAGATTTTTTCAACACAATGCAAAAGCGTAAACTGAATCAGAGCAAGATCCCGAATGCGCACCTGCAGCCCCTAAAGGGAGCAACAACTCTTGCTCGCGCTCCTCGTCGACTGGCAGCAGGACAAGGGCTGCTAGGTGCGGGCGAATGGATTCGGGGAGTGCCGGAGCCGGTTCTCCCCCTACATTTCCGAGCACCGGAAAGTAAGAAAATTGGCACCCCGGACGGGGGGCGCCGAATGGGCTATTTGTGACGACCTGGATATGTGGGAGAACGGGACAGGGACCGGGTGAAGGTTTCACGGAATATACGGTAAGATTTTACGGTCTAAATTTTTTAGTTTAAACAGTTTAACCTTTAAAAAACTAACGTTTTGATTTTTTAGTCAAAAATTATGAAAAATGACCAAAAATTGTTAACAACGCCAGTCACAAAATTTTTAAAATATTTTGCAGAACTTCCTAGCAATCAAAAACAACTAAAGCGCTGTAAAGATACACTATATTTTCTGACCGGTAGGAAAATACACCCCCGCTAACAGACCAGTACCAGTTTATAACTTTATGATGTACATTTTATGAATTTTCTTCTTATTCTTTTTCCTTTTTTCCTATTTTCTTCTGAACTGCATAGCAGGAGGAGTTAAAGAAAAAACTTATTTGGGGGCTTTCTCGACTGTTTTTCTACCATTACTAAACATGAAAAGCATTTTTACTAAAAACTATTAAAATACACTCTATTCAGTTACTAGGAATTTCCTGACTTATAGGAACATATTACCCCCCCCCCGATAATGCCAAAGAACCTAACAGCTATAGAGCGCAAAAACAAGCATTTTTCGCGGTTTAAGAGAACCTAGGAGCTCGATTTCGACCCGGCGGGTGTGAATTCGTTGTATATACAGGCCGGTAGCGGTGGACCTGTAGACAAACCGACAAACTGACCGACAGAGAGACAGACAGACAGAAGAGGGACGGGGGATGCTCTTTGTGCCGATGCTGAAGGGGCAGACAAAAGAAGGGGGGGAAGGGCGATGGATGGGTGCCGATGGCCTTTCCTGAAAAAGGCTCCGCGATCCGAGCACACCGTTTTGTTCGCGCGCGCCGAAAATATCGCGGAGGTCAGCTGGTAGCGGGGTGGATTGATGGGTTATTCTGTCGAAAATTGGGTAGCATTTACGCACGGTTACCGCTAAAATTCTAGAAACGCTTGAATCTCTGTACTTTACGATTTCCGGGGGCGACCCCGAATCCTTCAAGATCTGCTCAATAGCGTGATAGCAAGTAGCTTAAAGTTTTTAGTGAAATTTACCAACATCAAGTGGAAACTCTATAAGCTATACCTAAAAAACGTTTAAAAATTTCAAATTTAGCTGAGAGGTCTATATTTCAGTCCTTTGTAATACTTTTTGTAGTTTTTGCGCGTAGGAATAATAAAAATCCATTGATAAACAACTATCCTATAGTTTTTTTTTATTCTCCAGAAGGAATACCAGAAAAATTGGATTTAACGGAAAAATTAGAGGTTTTTTAAAAGTCTTATTTCCATATCTTTATTATTAAAAGGCCTCCTCAAAAATAGGCTGGGATAGCGGACAATGACGAGTTTCGATAAAGGCATACACACACTTGATACACGACCCCACAGAGCGACCTCGCAAAAGATAATAAACGACAGGACGGAACCAAGAATAATTATCAAGGACCCGCAGTGGAAAGTGGATAGGACATGTTGATTGGGGAGGGATGATCACAGAGAATTCGGGAGACAGAGAGACAGATGACGAGTAGTATTCTGAAACAATTATGGACTAGTAGACGAGCGGAATAGAGGATGCATCTGTTAGATCATCGGAATCACAACACGAGCAAAAATTACATTATTCTAGAAGGGGATGGCCGTCAATGGCTGTGGCCATGCGAATTGCAACCGCCGTCGTGTGAGTGGCCGTGATCACCGCCGTGGCTGTGGCCATGGTCGTCGTGGGAATGGCCGTGAGCGGCGCCGTTCTAAGATCGGTACTGGACTGTTAGCGGGGGGAACCAAATTTTCCCCTGTGATTCTCTACGGCCCCATAACAAAATATAAACCATTTATATAGTCATTTACATAGTTTTTAGATAAAAATAATATAAAAATACTAAAAATTTTCGAACATTTTTAATTTTTGGTCAAAAGATGTTTGAAAAATGACCAAAACAAGTCAAAATAAAAAAATATATATTTTTGTAACTTTCTAGCAATCAAAAACGACTAAAAACAGTATAAAAATACGTAATATATCATCAATAGGTGGAAAAAAACAAAAAGTGTCCCCACCCCCTAACAGTCCAGAGCCAGAAGATCAATTTGCGTACCTGTCTGGCCTTCGGAATGAATGATCCCTTCTGGACACGATGCGGTAATCGATAAGACGGGCAGATCCGTTGAATCATGTGGTGGAATGCCCCCTTCTCAACTTGGACAACAGCCTGCGTGGCTCCCGCCGCTTTCAGCAACGCCACCACCTAAAAGAGTCAAAATGAAGGTTGTAGACTGTTTGCGACTCCAACAATCAAGGCACGCCATTTTGGCCGCATTTTACGCCGTTTATCAGTAAAAGAAATAGCATAACATTTTTCTTATGTTTTTTTTTTTGTTGAAAAAGGCATGAAATACTCAGAAAAATTATTTTTTAACTATTTTTAAAAAGTTGGCCTCCTAGTATGTAGTAGCCAATAGAAACACTCTAAAAATCGTCCATAACCAAATTTACAGCACAAAACTCGGACCCATACCCGATTCCGGATCATCTGCGCATTGGCCTCCTCCTTGACTTGGACGTGCAGGGAGGCGACGTTCAGGTCACTCTTCAACTGCCAGAAGTGCGACTCGGAGAAGCTCTCGACGCCGTCCAACTGAAGGGCGAAATTAGGTCAAGCGTGCGAAAAATCTTTTACCTCCAAGACCTCGGATAGATTATATTCGAAGCGTTCGTCGATCTCATCAGGGATGTTCTAAAAAAGAAGATAAAAATTAACAAAATAACTTGTTCCGAACCTGAAGCAGCGTTTTGCTAGACGATGTGAGAAGTGGATAGACAGAGCCGAGAATCAGCAACGACAAGATCAGTGAGCACAACGGGTCGACCCACGTCCAACCGAACCACTAAATCAACAAAGTGTATTTTTTTAACCATTAGTAAATGTCAAAAATCCTAAATCGCCAACTAACCTGAATAAGTAGCGTCGAGATAATGACGAAAACGGAGCCCAGCGTATCGGCGAGAACATGCAGGAAGACGCCTAAAAATTGGATAAAAAATTCAAAGCCAACCTTACCCTCCATATTAGCATTAGCGTGGCTGTGCCCATGCGAACCACCGCCGTGAGAATGACCATGTCCGTGATCATCGCCGCCGTGGAATGAGTACATCCCGAACAAGTTGACGACCAGCCCGGAGATGGCGACGAACTAAAAAAGGCGGTGAAAATGGAATTGGGCTGTTAGCAGGGGTGGAAAAATAAATTTGACATATCGCCGCGCCTCAAAAATCAAATAAACATAGTCTTTATAAGCAGCTTATAAGTATAGTAAGGAATCAGACATTTGTCAAATTTTCAAAAAATCTAGGCTTTTTAGTAAAATTTATGAAAATGGTGAAAAAAACAAATTTCCAATTTTTAATTACTTTTATTTAATAATAAAAAAAACGATAAAAACTGTAAAAATATGTAGTACGAAATTCTGTTTAATAGCGTCATTCAAAACGTACCAAAAGCTTGTCGGTGTTGATGTTCGGAGGGTCGAAGAGCCGTTGTAGCGCCTCCATCAGGATAAACGTTGCAATGACACAGAGGAACATTGCATTGATGAAGCCCGACAAGACCTGAGCGGAAGGAATTCAAGTTTCATAAAAGGCCTTACCTCAACGCGTCCAAAGCCGTAGGTGTAATTTTTCGTCGCTTGCCAACGGGCCATAACTGAAGCGACAAGGCCCATCACCTGAAATTAGCACATTGATCTGTCTAAATTTCTTCTTTATTAATTTTATTTTCCTGGGAGCGTGAATCATTTAGCACTTACAAAAACGCTAGTTGGTTCAGAATTAATTTTTCTACCGAATAAGCTACGTCCGAAACTCCAAAATATCATCTAAAACTACTCCTTCTCCGTAACTTATAATTTGTTTAAAATCTTTTACCCACCAGCGCTGAACAATCGAACAACATGTGGAAGCCGTCCGAAATCAAACCCAGCGAGTTCGTCCAGAAGCCATACAGGAACTCGACGCCGCAAAAGCTCAGGTTGACGCACAGGAAGTAAAAGATCCTCCGCGAATCCCCGTTGGCCAAAATCTCGCGTAGCGTCTCCTACAACAAAAATAATGCGTAAAATTAAATAAAAACTGCAAATAGCTTCGATAAACATAAAAAGAAAATGGCTCAACGTAATCTATCCCACCTTCACGAAAAGCATCATATTCCGGCCGGTCCGTTGCAGGAACGCTTCGCCATGGGTGAAGAGGGGCGTTCCCGAGTCGGACAGTCCAACAAAGTGCCCGCCACGGGACTTCGGGGTATTTGATGAAGTTAGGGATATGGTACCTTAAAATTCTAGTTTTTTTAATTTAACTAAACTAACCAAGAACAAAGGCGACGAATGTAACAATAACACCACCGGTGACCGCGTGGGTTGCTTGGCCAGAATACCTAAAAATGAGGTATTGAAAATGAAAATAAATCTACCAAGCATAAGCCAATGCTAGGGCGCATGTAAACATTGTAACCGGGGACCAACGGGCGGCGGCCATCACCGGATCCGAAACGTGCTGTAAATTTAAGCTATTAAATTAATACAATTTTTTTTTAACTTATGATTTTTCCGTTCATTTCGCGTCTTATAATCCGGTGCAAATAAAATATTAATAAAAGAATCCCGGACACCAACAGAAAAACCCTAAAAAATCACCTGGAAACAAAGCGCCTCCGCGTAAAAGTCGATTACCATCACCAACACGCTGGCCACAAAGACCCAGAACAGGAACGTCGCCCAGCCATCAACATGAGACTGAAATTGTAGCTTTTATTTGCTTATCCAGGACTTTAAGAAGCTTCTCCATCTCTTAAAACCTCTTCTCTTCTCTTAAAAGAGACCTACCGTTCCTGTCAAAAAGAGTAGGAGACCAATCGGCATCAACAGGACGGCCGAGAAAAGCGAGACTATGGAATGCAGCTTCTTCGGGCCGCCCAACTCGACGGCTAGATGCCGGAAAGAGGTGTCGTAGCCTTAAAGAAAGCAAAATAACGCTAAAGATATTTTGATACCTATCCGCAACAACAGGGCCAGAATCAAGATGAAGACGCCGCCCTGATGATCAGCTACACCAAACATGCCGATCACGTGGTAGAAGAGGTGGTTCAGCCCAGAGTGATGCGCGTGGGACTTGTCTGGAAAAAAAGGGTGTTGAAGATTACAAAAAACGGGTCTTTCTATTATCGGGGGGGACTTTTTTTGTGAGACTAGAAATGCCCAGTAACAAAAGTCTTTTCATAATATTTTTAGTAGGCTAAAACTATATGTCAACTAGAAAACTATCCAAAAGCTTTGAAAAATTTTTCAAAGCTTGCTTCATTTTGGGCAAAAACGCCATTCGGTCGAAGTAGAAAATCTATATTTGTTGTATTTTTAATAGCAATTTGTAACTTTGTACGCTTAGGACTAGCAAAAAAAAAAACAGTTTAGATGCACTTCCGCTATTTCCTCCCCCAATACTGCGAAAGAACCCAAAAAGCTCACTATGCTCATCCTCGATCGAGCTATCTTTGTCCATTAACATCAATGCAACAAAGCCGACCAGCAACAAAAATAGCCCTCTTGTTCTAGCCGTTGTGGAATTGTTCTGAAGCAATTCACGGAACATCTGAAAATCCTTACCTTGAAGAACGAAACAATGGCTATCAAGATGACGGATGGAGAAAGCTCGAAAATCAGCACAGATCTAAAAGAAAATCTTGACAATTTAAGTACCTTCAGCTCACCTCAATGGCCCGCAAAACGTTATCCCGTAAAACCAGAATACTTCTATCAAGCAGTTCCATAACGCCAACTTTCCTATTCGCGCTAACTAAAAAAAAAGTAGCTTAAAAGATCCCTGAATAAAAAATACCGTCGGTTTCCGTAGCGTTTTACCGGTCGTAAACGGTTTCTGCAGAGGCACTAACAATGCACTTGTCCTAAATATTTAGATTTCATTATATTAGCCGTAAAACTTACGCTAATTTAAACAACCACAACAGGGTGACCACATGCAGTGATTTGGCCAAGATGTCGATGAAGAATATCCCCACGCATCGCAGCAATTTGGCCACCACAAGAGCTATGAAATACCAGGCAGATCTGAATCAAATATTTTGTTCAATTTAAGATTGGGTACCTGGATGAAGAAGTTGGCCGAAAAGAGCGCTCATCCTTTTTCAGGAAATCGTGAGCTAACATCGCTGAAAAAATGATTGAAGAGCGGGTTGCGAGGAACAAGCTCGGATTGTAAATAAGAATCTACCTTTCCACACTAGTATCGGGGTCTATAGTTAAAAAAGCATATTCCTGGGGGTAGAAGTTTAATCTCGCAAGTTAACGTTGCAATTTGGGGTGTGGGGAGGGCTGGATGACGCTATAGGGTGGAAAGAAGTGGCCGCGTGTAGAGAGGGGCTACGGTTGGTCGGGTTGCCTCAGGCCCTACCAATCGAGATGTCTGGGTTAGAATAAATAAACAAAAAAGGTGAACAATCTTTTTTATACACCTCGACGTCTTTAATAAAAACTAAACAAAATAAAACAGGTTCTGAATCCATTAGTAACCGCATTATAAGCGCATCACGGCATTCCACGGAGGCACGGATAGGACCCCCCCGGGGCCGCGGCGCAATCGGTTAGCGCCGATCCCAAATCTCGAACAGAGGGGCCGGGTTCGACCCCCGGGACCAACGTGCAACCGCTATTTCTCCCCAAAACCTTTGGCAAGCTTTTGCGTTTTGCTTAAAAACTGTGCTCCAGCCATTGAAACTGCTAAAACAATAAGGATCTGGAAAAATTAACCCGATCAAAAAGAGACGGTTGATCCACTGGCGTACATTTTCGCAAAACAGTCACTTGGAGCCATTTTAAGCGTCGATTTCACGCACTGAGGGGTAATCGACCTTGATTTTACCAAATCTAGGCTCAGATTTCAGCGACAATGCTTGTTTTCTGCGCTATTTAAAACCGCACAAAATCCTGAACTGAACTTCAAAAGACCATCACAAAAAAAGTGCCAGAATAGATTTTCGATAGTTAGGTCTCAAAATCTGCGCCTTGGCGTCTAGAATATTTAACTCTAATTGAGTTTCTAATTTTTCTATTAAAATTTCGAGAAAAATCCAGTTTTGTCCAAAAGTTTGTTCATTTTCGAACAAAAACGTAGCGAGCGCGCTGTCCCCTTGTGCAAGGGAGCCTGCCGTAGCCCAAAAGCTATCCGTGCCTGCCTGTTAAAGCCTGGAATGGCGTGGCATTACCGCCTCTGAAAAAATATTTATCCACAACAAAATAGAAATCTCAAACATGCTTCAAAATTATTAGTCGCTTGGGGCCTCCGGTTTGACGGACCGCTTCTTCATCGCTTTATGCTTCTTGCCTTCAAGGTGCTTCTGATAAGACGCATCACTTTGCACCTAAAATGAAATTTGGGATCGGAAAAAGATAGTTCTACCATAATCCCGCATAATTCACAGTAATGTTGGCGATTCGCAGCTCCGTAGTAGTCATCTGCGTCTGAAAAATTAAAAGGTCGGCGAAAGAAAATAGAGCAAATTACCTAATTCTGCCACTTTCTCTGGATAGAAATTGACACCGCGCTGCCAATCGGACAGCTTTTCTAAAGCCTTCGCGATGTAGTCATTTGGGTTTGACGTGTCGATGGGGATGATTGAGGGCAGCTAAATTAGTATAATTCACCACTGAAAACACAAAGAAAATCACCTCCTTGCCTTCTCGCCTTTGCATCAACCGGCTCTTCACCCAGCTCCGCTGTTTCCTTGAATACTGCCTGGTATGTAGCTGCACCATCTCACAGCATTTCGTGAAGGTCGAATCACCTACAACTGATAAAAAACGACCGTTTTAAATTACCTAATGCACTTCTTCGATCTTCGACTTTTAATTCCAAATATGGCACGAATTCCTTGAGGCCAATAGCCTGCATAATGCCGTAGCTGCCCAATTCGACGACATGCTTGTGCTAAAAAGATTGTGGGAAATTATTTAAGTCTGCACCTGGTCGTAGAATGCTTCGAGTTCTTCGCGAAGTCCGCTTGTGTGCATTTTCACGACTCTATAAAACATGGTGAAAATCGTTCAAATATACCTCTTGTCTAATCTCTCATCTAATACTTTCAGGTCAGCATCTAGCGAAAAGACGACAGTATCGATGTATCGTACATGAGGCTTTTGGTTTGCTCGGTGCTCGGATTTGCGTTTTCCTGAAAAAAATCTCGTTGGGTGATTATTTGTGAAATTACCAGTCTTTTCAAAGATTTGGATGGCCCGTAAAACACGATATCGATTGTTTGGGTGCACGAGGGCTGCAGATTCGGGATCAATCTGAATGAAAAAGATCAAAGCATTCTGCCCTGAAACGCTACCGCTTTCAAATGGGCATGCAATTCGGCATTTGTCAACATTTGAAAGCTCGCCCCTTCAACTTCTGCGTCGGAGTCACTTTCGCTCGGCTCTAAATTGTCTCTGACATAAAAAAAGAAACAATACCGCCATTATCTGCAATCAGATTGTTTTCAAATAAAACGGCTTCGGCGTAGTAGGTCGTCCCACCAACTAGGATCGGCAGCTGTACAAAAATTGCCAATCGCTTGACCAGAATTACCTTTCCACATTTGTGCAGCTCGTTGATTTTGTTGACCGCCATTTCGCGAAAGTCGTGGACCGTGAATTGTGGGGAGGTGAAAGATGAGGAAGACACCGGATCAACAAACGACATACAGTGATGAGCAACTCCTTGGGCTTCTTCCGGGGTAATCTTGTTGGTCGCGATATCCATTCCTATAAAAGCACAATTTAATACCTCAAACTAGGATAGTAAATACCTTTATAAATCTGTAAACTATCGCAGCTGATGACCTCGCCGTTGAACTTCTTGGCAATCGCCACGCCTAGGTCGCTCTTTCCGGTCCCGGTGCATCCGATGACGACCACCAACGGGTTATTGCGGGATGGCATTTTCTAGATATTAAGATTTTAGGCATCTTGGAAACCTTACCACAAAACAACTTGTAATTAATTTTCCAAGGCGCCCGAATAGCATGCACCCAGCAGGCGCGCTGAAAGGATTGACTGATTGAAAAGTAACTAATCGATACAAAAATAACAATCACTTTTTACAAACGAAACTGCAAAGAAACTATCGAATTTCTTACTATCAAAACTAAAAACTTGATAAAAAGAGTATTTTTATAGCCGCTCCTTTGAACGGTTTACGCCATGAAAAAAGGCTCGCCACTTTTTCAAAATAAATTTTTCTTTTCAAGTTTCTACCTGAAAAAATGTGCTCGTTTTCCTAATTTCTTCTTTTCTTTGATTTCTATCAATTTTCAGAGCTGATGAACAGTACCTTTCGGAAGAAACCGAATGAATTTAAAAACCAGGCAAGTTCGAGCTCTAAAAATAACTTAATCAAAGCTTAGAAGCCCGTCGTCGGCCGCGGAAATGTGTTGACAATGTTGAAAAAGCAGATAGAAGGAAAAGAATGTCCAATTTGTAAGATTTTTTGCTTTATAAAAACTTTAGAGTCTTAGGTAACGAAAAGATCAACCTAGCCAGTTTCGCTCTGCATCGGAAATCCTGTAAATTACGCGAGGACGATGAAGATATTGAAGTTCTACTTCTTTCTCGAGCGATGTAGATCTGTTTCTAGGTCATCGATGTTCTGGATGCAGAGGAAAAATCGCGACGACGTGGGCTTAATGCCGTGACAATAACTTTGAATGATTCGCTGATAGAGGTAAGAGAAATGAGATGGTTTGAAATTGTACGAATTTTAGACAACCGAGGAGATAGTTGTATTGAAGGAAGAACCAGAGGTATTCGATTGGAAGATAATGAAAATGAAATTCTAGGAGCCCGATGTCGTAATCGAAGACGATCAAGTGGCCGGTACTTCCAACGTTATCGAGGAAAGCGACACTGCTGAAGCTCAAGAATTAGCCGAGCCCATTTTTGAAGAGGCGCCGAGATCAAGAAGACGCCCGGCAAAAAATAACGTTAATAACGAGCCGACGGTCATTGAGGTATACCGTCAAAACGTAATTTATTTTTATTTCAGGACGCGAGGCGGACTCGGATGACACGAAGAAGCCTTCGTGCCACCCAGAACAGCTCATTTTGCGAAGAAACAATCGTTGAAACGACACAGGTATCAAAATGTTTCTATTTTATAGGAATTTATAGAAGGAGACGACAACACGCTCTACAAGGCGAAGAACAAAAGCAACATTGGCTACTGAAGAAGCTCAAAATCCTGAAAATGGGGATGCTCAACTTCAAACTCAACCCAGCACGGTTCATTGGATCTATATTTCAACGATTTGTTTTAGTCGCGCAAACGTGAACGTCCAACACCGATACGCCCACGTGTTGAGGCAGTACATTCATCGAAGCCTAAATCGCCAAGAACCGCTTTGAAACCTACAGAAATTATCGAGGAAACCCCCGAAAAGCATGGTATGGAAATATCACTTACTCAAAAATTCATGTTTAGTTACTGATGCTCTTATAAAAGAAGAACGATTAGCAGGACTGGCCGACAAACTAGCAAACAAATGTGATACCTTGCTGAGACAATCCATTCAGAATTACTACGTTCGATTTTAGCTTTATTCCTCTTAAGTTTGCCTCAGGAAAGTCAACGCAGCCAGAAATCGGGCGGCGAGGAGCCGCATTCAGAAAACGAATCGTTGCATTACACTGTCGAGTTTATGCTGAAAATTATTCGACGGGTAAGCCAGCCAGTTATTTTCCATATTTCTTTAGGTATTGACGACTCCAACAAGTTATGGCTGGCGCTATGACGAGAAATACTGGCTGGACGATTTGTTTCAGCTCGAGAGGGTATTTTTGCCATTTTTGAAGTTATAAAACGAATGCAGCTTCTTTCGTTGAGCCCGAGGGCCCTTCGGCTGTTCATGCGCCTCTTTTTGAGAAAGAGAAGATGGTTGTCAATGGATCATTTGGCTCAAAGGTTTGGGATTTTGATAGTTTTACCTGTAAGCTTGCAGAAACGATGTCGGTGAGACCTCGTATGAAGCGGAAATTCAAGAATTAGCCACGAATGGTTTTATTGATACCGGTAAACACATTTTTTAGAAAAATACGTTTTTGAAGAACAACATCTCACCGAGCTGGAGGTGGCTCTTACACTTTGCTCACTCGAAAAGTGAAGATTGTTGCCAAGAAATTCCAGGTTGATCACCATGGACAGAAAAATGTAATTTTCGTTTCTTGCTACCACGAATTCGTTTAGGAAATCATAGCCGAGTTGATTAAACGAAGCCGGTCACAACGATCTCTTTTTGGCGCAAAAACGGCAGTCACCCGAATGTTGATGGTGTAAGGAGGAAAGCGTTGGAAAAAATGTCATTTTAGGGTAAAAGAAACTGTCGGGCTTTTGTTTCGAATAAATGAAGGTGTTTCAAACTTTTTCAAGGTAAGCTTTTCTAGGCACCACTTTTTTTTGGATATAATTTAGGCTGTTTTGACGCTGTATTGCCCGTCGTCCATGAATTCCTGCCTATTGATAGATAATGCCAATACCAATCTGGCTGCGCAAATGATGTAGGCCGTTTCCGGTCAAAAAAAATAGCTTTCAGGCTGGCGATGCTCAACCTGAAGGCGAAAAAACTTGATTTCCCCGCGCCAAACCCATGTAATGAGATAATTTCGATTTTCCCGAGCAAGAATCAGTTGTATAGGTGAAATTTGATGCTTTGTTTCGCTAATGCAGGTTTAGTTATGTAAGCGCCAAGGAAATGGAGGCCCAGATCATACTTTTGGCGGCCGAGGGAAGGCACGACGCTATCGCCGAAGTAGCTGATCAAGCAGCGGCACAGCTTCATGACTGTATTGAGAAAGAAGCACAAATGTAACGGAATTTTGCTATAGCATTATTGACCCTTTTTCAAGCTTTCGAAAGGCTACTGCACTACCAGAAGGCTTACGTCGCTTCACACCTTTTTGGGTTTGGGTCAGATGTCTGGCGCATGGTGCGGTCGCGTTGGAAAAGTTGAAAAAGTCGGTTTTATTTTTTGCCGTCCTAAAAGTATTTTCTAGATTTGAAGGCGCTACGGTTACCTATCAAAACTTGCTCCGAAATAAAGGTAATCCCTTCAGAAATCTCAGACGCTTTTTGGCTTTAGATCTTGTCCATTTTTGCGTGCACGAGCGGGGGATTTGGTGGGATCGGCTGGCGCTGAATCTGCATTCGCATTTGAACCTGAAGGATGACGCGGCTGAGGCATGCCAACAAGGCATAGATGATGAACTCGTCCTCGATAAGGTGAGCAATTGCATCAGTTCTGGACTTTTAAAAACTTTTAGGAACGATTGATGCTTCAAGATCGTCTGTCAAAATTGACCAAGGGTAATTACCAACCATCAATTGTCATTTCCGCTCCAATCGAGGTTTTTCGACGAAATTTTAGCTCTAATTTCGCCTTAGAAAAAGATTAGTGCACCGGTGCTCATCAAGGATACAGGAAATGGCCGTCTAAATCAATTTATTGTCAAGGTATCGACTTTTTCACCAGCTCTAGTGTTTCTTAGGAACCTGGCAATGTGCTAATCGTTTCTGTAGAAGAGGTCGCGCTGCGGTACTATAAAGAACAGGAACATTTTGCAACCGGTAATTTTTTCTGAGTACGATTTATGCCTTTAGGACTCCATTGCGAGGGTACGATCTGGCATCTCATGCTCGGCCTTCTCTTCTACGATATTATCTATTCGCACGAATATAAAGATGTTTGGCTCTCTGAACTGCAGGTAGTTATGATAGATTTTTGGCTAAGATATATCTTTCAAGGCTGCTCCAATTGATCTCAACTATCGCGATTTGTATGAACGACGAAAATCATCTTTTGATGACCGTTTGTGCTGGCTTAAAAGTGAGCACCACTGAATGCCCAAATGTTCTTTAGAAGCTACGGCCGAAGAATACACGAGTTTCGCGCTGGAACGCCTCACGGAGTTTGCGCAGTCTGCCGACGATTTTGCCGGCAGTGATCCGGCGATCTACAGCCCGGAAGTTCTCATGGTAAAAAAATAGATACTCATTACCACCCATTTTCAGGACTTCTGCCAAGTGCTCACCGGCCAGCTCCTCTCGGCCATATGCGGCCGTGTTCTAAAGGACAGGCGTAACACGAGAAGCGGTTTCCCGGATCTAACTGTTTGGGATGCGGCTACAGGACGATTGGCGGTAGGGCCATTTTTCGTAAAAATTTCCTACGGTCAATCAAGTATTTAGTTCTTTTTAATAAAATTTAGTGATATTGCAAGTGGAAAAACTCTTAAAAAAACTTGGAAGCTGCGTCAAATTTTAAATTTTGAACGGAAATCAAGTATTGTCAGTAGTAAATTGAGATTTTTCTATTTTGGAATCAATTTTTTTCGGATTTTAACGTTTAGGAATTGTAAAAGGACCGCTTAGAAACCTATTAAAACAGGAAATATTCATTCCAAAGGAAATAAAAAAAGGTTAATGGAAACGCACTCTGAAAAATTAAATTGTAATGATTAGGTGGTGGAAGTGAAGGGCCCAGGAGATCGACTATCAACGAAGCAACGTCTTTGGCTCGACTTCTTTACAAATAATGGCGTTCGTGCTGAAGTCTGCTATGTCTCAGGTTTGTATATTATTCTTTACTTGCTTATTTATTTTTAGCGATAAGAGAAAAATGAGCGATCCACCAGCACGTCGTGTGATTTTGACAAAAGTGTACTATTTAAATTAAATGAAATAAATCTTTTTACTTTCAAAAATATGCATTCGGGAATGCAAGGCGCTAATTATCGCCGTAACGTGTGTTTATCTTTTCGATAGCGAATTGTTTATTCCGAATTAATGGGGTACTGAGATCAAATAAGGGTAAGGAGATTATGTTCAGAAGTATTCCTTGCGAAGTCGGCGAACCAACTGGAGATCCTTCGGGAAAAGGGTGACTCTTTTGGCGTGGATGGCCAAAAGATTCCCATCTTCGAAAAGTCCGGTCAAATAGGCTTCAGCGGCTGTCTGAAAGTCGGGGTATTGAAAATTCAGACGAAAAAGAAGAAATGTTAGATTATTGTTTAGGTGATCGGTCGTTCAATTTATAACAAGCTCACCCTCAAAACATCAAGGGCCGCGCTTTGTAGGCGGAAACTCGTCGAAATACGTTGCATCAGGTATTTGACGAGACGGAACATGGCAACCTTTGGGATCAGGTAGTCGGTGGTCTTCTGGAGTTTGCGAATATCTTGCAGGACTCGCACTTCAAAAAACAATATAGGTAAGACGTAAGCCTTGTACCTCCGCGTCCAACCGGCTTGGTCGCAGGTTTAGAAGAGGACAGTCTCTTCATTACACCGGATGTATTTGGTCTCGGGAGGTGTTTTTCTACAAACAATTTTTTGTTTCTATTTCTTTATTTTTCACTTACTGGCTGGCCGCTTGTGTGCCAGACCGGGTGGGAAGCCGGCCAACGACTTCCGGGCCGTCTGCTTCAATTCGGGCTTCTGCTTGACACGAGCCATCAATTCTAAGTTTTATTTTAGAAAAAAGTGGGCTAGGGTCATCCCACTCTATAAAAATACATATACGAAACTCGGCGTAACTGTAGGTTGCATAAAAAAATCGGGAAGAAAATCAGAAAGTGCTAATTTCTATAACAGTAAGCCCAAATTCCCTAAGAACCACCGAAAACGTGGCAAATAAACTGCCACCTCAATTGATCGCATAAGCTTATAAGCTCCTCCTCGTGCTTCAGATTCCTGTCCCAACTTGGCCGTCTTTCCGAACGACAGGCAACACTTTACACACCAACACCGTCAACCCCTCTCCATCCCCCGCCCGGTGTTTATTAAAACACATCTGAAGATCTTTATAAAGATATCGGTCCCATCTCACTTTCGCCTCACTTTTATCGATTCTGACGACTCATTTCTTTCAGCTATAGCCGCCGACAGCTCGAATTGCCTCGACACCAATGACCAGAGGTTTGGATAGACCTTCTGTCTTAATGTGTTCCCTAGATGGTTCTGATTCGCGGGAGCACAGTCAGGAGGGCAGCCCGTGCGAAGTGACTTTGCAAGTAAGTTGGAATCATTCGAATTTTATACCCTTTTTCTTTTCAGGATGTAATGGATGAGGACAAACTGGTGGTGCTGAACAAGACGGATCAGCTATGGGAGCTGCACACCATTCTCAAGGACAGGTTGGAGGCAAATTACGCTTTTTAAAATCGAAGAAGGTGCATAATTGTATTTTGCCGTTTTAGAACAACCCAACATCCCGATTACGTGTTCTACGCCGATCGCCTGATGAGGTTGGTGGTCGAAGAAGGGCTGAACCGACTGCCAATCACTGAAAAGCGGGTCGTGACACCGACGATGTGCCCTTACAAAGGTTATTGGTGCCGAATCGTTGAACTTACATTTTTAGGTATTGCCTTCGCGCGCGGAAATTGTGGAGTGGCGGTGTGTCCCGGCGGAGATGCCATGGAGATTGCGCTACGCCAGTGCTGCCGGTATGCGTCTCTTTTTTTTAAAATAGTCATTACGTCGAAAGATTACTTGTTTGGAGACGGTACATGTTTTTTAATATACAACCCATTTCAGGTCGATTCGCCTTTGCAAAATCCTGCTTGATGACATCGAGCACAAGGTTATCTACACGCGATTCACCAAAGATCTGGCGCATCGGCGCTGCCTCGTGCTCTATCCGACCATCACGTAAGCCTCCCCACTTGCCTGAAAAATACCCGATTCAGCAACGGCATGTTCACGAAAACGGCCCTGGATTCGCTGCTGAAGAAGGGAGTCCTGGAGGAGAATATCTACCTCGTCACCCTCTTCGCCACGCCGAGAGGTATTCCAACCTAGTAATAATAAATCATATTTCTTAGGCGTCATTTTCCTGCGTCGCCGTTACCCGAAAATGTGCATCATCACGTCGGAGATCACCGAGCACATTGTGAAGAACTTTGCGAAGACGTACTTCGGCACAAGCTAATTCCCTCCTGATCTTGAACTTGTTATGAGCTTTAATGCCGTGGATTGTTGTGCATTTTCTTTTGTCCATTCCCCCATCCCCATCTTTGCCTCACAGTATCACATGCTTTTTTGTTACAAATCTCTGACATAATTTCTACCGGTTTCGTGCGAGTAATTGCTCTGTTTTTGTTTGACTGTTTTTGGCTTTCCTTTCCGTATTCAAGTGTTAACATTGTTGAGATAAATGTTTATGTACACCTTTGGCGGGTTACTCGAAAATGGGCACCGTATTCGCTAAATAATTAATTTCGATTCTGCAATGTTGATTAGGCACCAGGCAATATGATTATGGCAAAAATAAAAGTTTTGTTTAGAGCGTTGACGACGAAGATATGGCTGAGATGTGGGACAAGGCTCGGACTCGAGGGAGGGAGAGAATACAAATGAATATCACCGGATTGGGCAGACGATTAGAAAGAACCTGAGCAAGCTAAATGGGCTATCGAGAGGTTTGAAGGTAGCATAAGAGAATTAGCGCTTCCCGAGATTTTTTAATCGGGCTTCTTTTTCTTCTTTTTGGGCCATGGCGATTACTTGGGCTAACGTCATCCGCCCGTCTTCTTCTTCTTCATCTTCCTGAAAAGAGTTTTTTCTAGCTGGAATTCTTTATAATTCAAAAGATTGGTCAAGGTTAGACTTATTTTTATTTTTGGTGCTTTCGTATTATCGGCGGGGGACCAACTTTTTTCAAATTTAATTAGTGCTTCCAAACTTTTCACTATTCCTAAACATGCAAACTTTACAAAGTTAGTTAAAAAATCAATTTTTCGACCAAAAACGGCCGATTTTTTAGTCAAATTTGACCCTTTTGCACATTTTCTCAAGTTGTCAGTGGTTTTGTAGTTGAAATATACCAACATATTTCTAGAAACACTCTCAAAACACGTTCTATTAAGTTACATTTCAAGGCTCATACATAAAATGTCGGTCCCCCGATAACACGAAAGAATGCGAATTTTTAGTTTTGAACGTACCCATTCAGACTCATCCTCATACTCCCATTCTGACTCATCCTCCACTTCTTCTTCCACCTTCACCGGCGGCGGGACTGCCTTCTTTGGCTCCTCCTTAGGCGCTGCCGCTTTTACTGGCTCTTTCTCCTAGAAATTTTAGTTCAATACAGTTTTTAATCGTAAAACAAAAATACTTCATTAATCGCTTGTTAGAGATCACGCCGTTATGAGGATTGATTTTATAGGAACAGAAACACGGCATTCCGGATACCTCTTTCTTCGCCACTGGCTTCTTCTCTTCTTCCTTTTTAGTCGCGGGCTTTGGCGCAGGTTTACTTGTCTCTTCCACCTTACTCGTCGCCGGCTTACTCGCCGCTGGTTTTGCGGCTGCGGTTTCTTTCGTTGCAACAGGTTTAGCAGCGGGCTTTTTGTCATCCGACTTTGCAGCAGGCTTGTCAGGCTCAGCTTTTGGCTTTTCCGGAGTTTTCGGGGTCGGCTTAGCTGGTTCAGCCTTTGGTTTTTCCGCGGCCTTAGCTGCTGGCTTGGCGGGCTCAGCTTTAGGCTTTTCCACCACCTTTGCTGCGGGCTTTGCAGGCTCAGCTTTGGGCTTTTCCACCGCCTTTGCCGCTGGCTTCACCGGCTCGGCCTTTGGCGTTTCAACCGCTTTTGCGGCTGGCTTGGCAGGCTCGGCTTTAGCCTTTTCCGCTGCTTTGGCTGCTGGCTTAGCTGCCGTGCTTGTAGACGGCTTGATACCCTTCTTCTCGTCCTCCTCTTTTTGAGCAAGTGCAATTGCCTGTGCGAGGGTCAGCTTCCCGGCTGGAAGTTCTTCCTCCTCGTCCTCCCATTCTGACTCATCCTCATACTCCCATTCTGATTCGTCCTCTACCTCTTCCTCCACTTTTTTGGCTGGTGGGGGTGCTGGCTTCGGTTCTTCCTTTTTGACCGGGGCTTTGGCTGCTGGTTTGGTTTCAGGCTTGGCTTCCGGCTTTTCAGCTGTTTTGCTGGTGGTGACCTTTGCAGCAGCCGGCTTCTCTTCTACTTTCGCGACCGGTTTTGCCGGTGCTTTAGGCTCCTCCTTTTTAGTTGCAGGAGTTGTTTTTGCTGCAGCGGGGGCTTTTGCCTCTGACTTGGCCGTTGTTGCAGTAGTTGCTTTCTTTTCAGGCTCAGCTTTAGTTGCTGCTGTTTTTGCTGTTGTGGCTGCTTTCTTTGCAGGTTCAGCTTTGGCGTCGTCAGCCTTTGCTTTTGCCGCAACGGCGGCTTTCTTTTCCGGCTCAGCTTTCGCGGTTGGCTTGGCAGCTGTAGCTGTTGGCTTCTTTTCAGGCTCAGCTTTTGCTGCTGGCTTGACTGGAGCCTTGGCCGGTGTCTTTGTAGCATCAGCTGTCTTTTCTGTAGGTTTGGCTACTGCCTTTGCGGCAGGCGCTGCTTTCTTTTCATCTACTTTTGCAATAGGCTTCGCTGGCTCAGCCTTCGGCTTTTCAGCCACCTTTGCTGCAGGCTTTGCGGGCTCAGCTTTTGGCTTTTCTGGCGTCTTGGCAGCCGGCTTTGCAGCACTGGTCGACGGCTTGATACCCCTCTTCTCGTCCTCCTCTTTTTGAGCAAGTGCGATTGCCTGGGCGAGCGTAAGCTTTCCGACTGGAAGTTCTTCCTCCTCGTCCTCCCATTCCGACTCATCCTCATATTCCCATTCTGATTCGTCCTCCACCTCCTCCTCAACTTTCTTTGCAGCGGCGGGAGTTGGCTTGGGTTCCTCTTTCTTCACGGCAGTTGCAGCAGACTTGGCAGCTGGTTTAGCGGGTTCGGCCTTGGATTTTTCAGGAGCTTTAGCAGCCGCCTTAGCAGGTTCAGCCTTCGGTTTTTCCGCAGCCTTCGTGGCTGGCTTGGCAGGCTCGGCTTTAGGCTTTTCCGCTGCTTTGGCTGCTGGCTTAGCTGTCGTGCTTGTAGACGGCTTGATACCCTTCTTCTCGTCCTCCTCTTTTTGCGCAAGTGCAATTGCCTGTGCGAGGGTCAGCTTCCCGGCTGGGAGTTCTTCCTCCTCGTCCTCCCATTCCGACTCATCCTCATACTCCCATTCTGATTCGTCCTCTACCTCTTCCTCCACTTTTTTGGCTGGTGGGGGTGCTGGCTTCGGTTCTTCTTTTTTGGCGGGGGCTTTGGCTGCAGCCGGTTTTGCGGCTGGCTTTGCTGCGGGTTTTGCTTCGGCTTCTTTTTCGGCGGGCTTGGCTGCCGGCTTAGAAGCAGGTGCAGCAGCAGCCTTATTAGCAGCGGGCTTGGCAGCGGTGGCCGCGGCCTTAGCAGCAGGTTTTGCGGGTGTTTCGACAGTTTTAGCAGTCGGCTTGGGAGCGGTCGCCGCGGCTTTAGCAGCCGGTTTGGCCGGAGCGGCTGTAGCTTTAGCGGCTGGTTTCGCTGGGGTGGCAGCTGCTTTAGCCGCGGGTTTTGCTGCTGTCTTAGCCTCCGCAGCCTCGCCGGCTTTGGCAGCTGGCTTTTTCGCTGCTGCGGCTTCTCCAGGCTTTGCAGCGGCGGCGGGTTTTTTAGCGGCCGTTGTGGCCGGTTTTGCCGCGGCTGGTTTAGCAGTTCCATCGGCGGCTGGCTTAGCCGGAGCTTTTGCTGCGGCGGCAGGCTTAGCAGCGGTTTTGGTTGCAGCAGCGGCCGGTTTAGCAGCGGTAGCAGCTGGTTTGGCTGTGCCAGCAGCGGGCTTCGTAGCTGCTGCTGCCGGTTTCGCAGCAGTAGCCGCTGGTTTCGCAGCAGGCTTCGCTGCCTCCGTAGCTGGCTTTGTAGATGCGGCACCCGGCTTTGCGGCTGGTTTCGCAGCTGCTGCACCCGCTGCTGGCTTTGCAGCAGCTTTTGTAGCTGCTCCAGCTGCTGGCTTTGCTGCCGGCTTTGCGGCCGTGGCAGCAGCTGGTTTCGCGGGAGTTTTAGCTGCCCCAGCGGCCGGCTTTGTCGCTGCCGCACCTGGCTTTGCTGCCGCTTTAGCCGGTGTTTTCACTGCAGGCTTCACCGGCTCCTCCTCATCCTCCTCTTCATCTTCCTCGTCTTCCTCCCCTTCATCCAGCTAAAAGGTTACAGTGCCAGATTGGAAAGGGTGTTGTGCAAAGGTTCGAAAGACTAATTCCCAGAGAGTTTCAGTATAGAGAGAAATATAGCTTACTAGGGAGAGAGGAACAAGTCTGGTATGAGATCGGGCTCAAAGCACAGATTTTCCACATTTGATAAATTTGATACTTTCCTCTAAAAGTCGAGGTATGTAAGCTCAAAGAGCGCAATATATGAAGTATTGCCCACTTTAGGCTTAGATATCTCAAGTTTCAGGTGCCAGTAACAAATTTTGAAAACCGTTAAATGACCAACATCGTAGATTCTATATTTGTGCCATTTCTGAGCCCAAGCTGAAACCGGACCAACTTCACTCTCCCTGGCTATAAGTTTCAATTCGCTAACCTCTTCATCTTCTTCCTCGTCTCCCTCCAGTGCTGCTTCATCGGCTTCCTCATCTGCCTCCTCATCCTCCTCTTCGTCCTCATCCTTGTCCTCGTCCTCATCCTCATCTTCGTCGTCTTCGCTCTCCTCATCCGCCTGAAATTTGATCAATACTTGCTCCTTTTTATTAGATACTTACTTCCGATGACGACGCACTGCTCTGCCACGCCTGAAAAATCATTTTAGATTTGATTTATGGGTTTTTTATTCAATAGGTTAAAGCAGGAGGGGTATAGCTGCTTTTACTAGGTACTTTGCAGCTTTGAATGCTCATTTAGGACGAGCCACAGGACGCAAAGCGAGGGGCGAGGCTTGAAAACCCTTTGGAAAAGAATATAAGCCGATTTTCTGGTGCTCAAGCCTCGAGCTAGATTTTATTGTGGTGCTCTTTGGATTCGGGACGAAACTCGACACATTCCAGCCCACTAATAATTACCGTCATCAGAAGCTGTCACGTTCTCCGAGGAATTGACAGTTTTTAGACTTTTCGTCCATCGCTAGATCGGGGTGGTAAGGGTTAGTTAGACGAAAGTAGTAACTTGGAAGCCATTAAAGTAACCCAACCTCATCCGGGACGAGCCGAAGAAATTCTGCAATCTTGTCCAGCTCGACGGCCTCCTCGAAATCGATGTAATTCTAGAGAAATTGGTTCTTTTGGTTCTGATTCGTTAGCGGGGGAACGAAATTTTACGAAATATAAACTATTTTTATCGCATTTTAGATAGTTTTTGGATATCGAAACAATCTAAAAAAATGAAAATTTAGAATTTTCAAAAATTAAATTTTTTTGGAACTTTCTAACAGTAAATACATTATATTAATCGCTAGATATAGGCGGGAAAACAATAATGCCCCCCTCCACTAACGAAGCAGAACCGCTTCTTTACCACCAAAATCACTCACCCCCAGATATTCTTCATCGTAGAAAAATTGCGGGGGCAACGGCACCTTCTGCCGTTCGTTATTCGCCTTCTCGCGTAGCAGAGCCCTATAATTTGCCGGACGGGTGGATGGTTTTCATGGGCTATAAAGCGGCAGCATTGGCCTGAGAAAAATAAAACGAACCGGCTCTTTGCGTGCTCGGGCTTTGTGATGTCGATGAGGTCGCAGGGCACTTGGAGGCCCTCGAGGAGCATCACTGTTTTCTGGCAGTTCTTGCGCGTCTAAACTGTTTCTTCGTCTAAAAACTTTGTTTCTAAAGTGCTGATTTTGCAAATATTACCGGATGTGAAATCTTTGCGGTTTTTGATTAAAATTACAAAAATATTGATTTTCGTGCAGAATATAACCAATTTTCGATCAAAAAATTTTTTGTAAATCCTTTTGGAAGGTTTTTTGCGCTTGAATAATAGTTCAAATTTATTAAAAAGCATACTAAAACACCTATTATTAGAATAACAGGCATTTCTGGACCTATGGGAAAAGTTGCCTCCCCCCCCCCCCCGATAATCCCAAAGAACCAAAAGTTAAAGAGCCAAAAAGGGGGTTTCTTGCGCGAAAATGTAAATCCAAACTAATTATTTTCGTTTTTTTTTCACGATTTTTTTGCACATTTCGCGCTAAACTATTATACAACGACGGCTTTTCTAAGTTCTCCGTGTCACCCGGGGGGTCGAATTGTTGTTGTGCACGGGCCGGAAGGATCGAGGGCAAACAGCCAAAAGCCTCGCCCCTTTCTCAACCTCCGAGTTTTGACGCGGTTGTGCTGCCACTCGAATGGGCACGCCACTGACTACTGGATTTGAGGCAAAGGAAATAGAAAGGGGGAACCCACAAACGAGCCCTCCGGAAGGGCCCTTTTCGGGCCGCTATACCACTTTTGGGCCATTGGCCATGGGGAGAAGAGGAAAGAGATTGAAAGAGTGGGTTTAAGAAAAGCGCTCGTTTCATTCGTGTTGCAGCTAGGAGAATCTCTAAAGGAACAGGGCTTGTTAAAAAAGGAGAGACTGCATAAAATGTGGCTAGCGCATGGTCTAAATGTGTACGGAGTAGTCCAACGTACTCAACTTTGACAGCGACTTTCAGGAACCGTAGTGCGCGAAAACAATATAAAAAATATGTGTGCGGAATAGTACAACGTAATCGTAGAAAATCCATAGCTTGGCGTTGCTTGTCCCTTTAAAAAATGACCCACTGACCTCGGGGTTTGATGTGATACTGGCCACATAGACGCGCAGGTGGAGGTCAGCCGGCGTTAGGGCCGACATCACCATCCCCTGAAAAATAAGAAACAAAATAATTTAGTTAATAAAAACGGTAAGATAAAAATAATAAGTTAAAGAAGGCCCAGGATGTGATGGAAAATGGGGAAGTCAACAACTACGAGACGAGGCACTTATCACTCTGCGGATTCCCACAGAATTCTACTCGAAAAGCAGGGAGGTGCAAAAACAATCAGCAAGTGACCGACGCCGGGGTGTTCGGGGTGGCTTATCGGCTGTTTGGGACCGGATCAATGGAATGGCCGAGGCTTTGAAGAGGGCCTGTTTGCTAAACGGCCATTCGCATCTTCAAGACGGTCAATGGCAGATGAGGATATCGTCTGGGCCCGCTAGCATAATATAGGAAATTGGTCACTTTTTAGGAAAAACTACGCGATTACGGAAAAAAGTAACATCTATTTTACTAAACGAAAAAGGTAGTTTTTTAGTAGTTCAACTCACCACTTTCTTCTAACCCTCTGAAAAGAAATATTTAACATGTAAAAACTATACAAGCTTTCGAATGAGAATCGAAGAAGTTTTTCAATAGTAAAGAGTGACGGCGACCCGAAAAAAATTCTAGTTTACACATTTTAATCGACTACCAGGGTTGAAAAGCCGCTTCGCGACTTTTCAACCCTGGCCCCGTCTAACCCCATTTTATCCTTCACTTTGCATAATTGTACTGAATTCAGATGACAAAAAATGAAAAACACCCTCGTCTGTGCATTTATATAGTCAAATCACTACTTCCGGTCTATGCTAATTATTTCCTAACATCGAAGCTTCCACAAAAACTTAAATTTAATGTCGAAAATGGCTGACTTTGTAAAATTTGATATGTGTGCAGTCATCTCCAGACCATTGCGCACCTAATGACGTATCAAACATACCCGTAACTTCCTTCCCTATCGGGATATCCTCCGGACAGACAGACGGAAGTGGATGCAAAGTGGCACACACACACAGACACACACACACACAGACACTATTTTTTTATATATAGTAGGATATTAAACGTCTCCTCGACTACGACTTTCCAGCTTCTCAAAACTATAAAATCTCAAAAAATCGCCTAGTATCTGTTTTTCTGTTTTCTAAACTAAAAAGTTAACTTGTTCGGCATTTTAGTTTTTTTATACTTTATTTAGTTCGTCTTGAAACTTTGAAGCTATGAAAAGCTCTATTTGGCCCCATAGAATTCAGAAAAGCTAGAAAACAAAAATTACATGCGATTTTACAAACTGAATTTTTAGTGAGGTTTTAACAATTTAGGAAATCAATTTTCGAGTTGCTTGTAAACCCCCTGAAAACGATTTAATCTCCCTCTAAAAACTCTAAAATCTAGAAAATAATTGTGTAAATTGTAGGCTGGCAAACTTCCCTAAAAGCCGTAGAAAACCCGAAAAACTACAAAAAACGTAACCCTTGGAAAACTCCCAGCCAATATCGATCCAACATTAATCATTAAAAAAACGAGCCCGAGCCTGGGGCTCAAACTGAGAAGGCGAGAGAGAGGCTGTTGGTCAATAGAGAGAGAAGTCTGTTGAAGGGGGAATACACAACTGGCGAGGAGACACATCCACCACCCTCAGTCCCCCCAAGAGCAGAGCATGAGGCTCCACCCGCCCCCGAAAAGCCCCCAGGGCATTTCGCTCGACATCTCTCGCAATCTCTCGCCCGGGCGGGCCCCTCTTTTCTTGAGCGCCAGTTCGGGGAGGAAAAGCCGGCAAGGAGGACAGATCGGCAGTAGGAGGGAAGGAGGAGGATGGCCAGGCTGGGGCTCGACGGGGCGATCACAAACGATGTGTGTCCCCCGAGGCTTGTTCCGCCAGATAATTGGACATGCGTGGCCAAGGGGGGGGGCAGGATTTTGAAGGATGCGCGGCGCTGGGGCTTTAAAAGGCGTCGAAATGGTCAACCTAGCGAAACTAAATCTAACAACAAATGAATGTAAAAGCTATTTGGTGAACGTCGCATCGCAAATACAGGGTGGCGATTATTTACCTGCGCGTCGCTTTTTCCCCAAAAAGCAGGCTTTAAATTTTCTTTGATAGAGTGGTTTTACTATATTGGTGGTTGTATAGTTGCATCCTATCCAAATTTTAACCGGGTTAAACAATCACGAAAAACTACGAGCTAAGAAACATAAATTCCGGCTTCACGACGCGCATCGTGATCGCATGGTCACACTTTTGAAGCCTACTGTAGCCATGGGCGGTAGCTAATCTTTTCTAAAACGGCTCAGATATGTTGCACGCTTCTTTTCAAACGTAGTAGTCGGTTGAAAACCGGCCTAAGTCAGAAGATAAAAAAGATACAGTATCGAGAACGAAATCGGTCAAAATGGAAATTAAAACAGCGCGTTCTTTCGATTTTACGCGTGAAACTGTCAGTACGATACGAAAAAATATGTACAATCCTTAAAATAACCATATGCCAAAAGTTCTTGGGTTCAAAAGGCTTTATCGGGAAACTAGAATCCAAAAATGCGAGAAATTGCTGACGATTTTTGAGGCGCGCCGCGGGCTGAAATGATGGCATCATTTTTGGCCCAGAACTTCCCCAAAATTTTTCAGAACCGGCCTCAATTTAACAATGCGTCTTAGCAAACCAATAAGAAGAGGGCTACATCAACGAAATTGCACTTTCCCGAAAAATCTTTTTATTTTTGAGGTGTCTCATTCTGGCCGATTCTGCTCCAGGCGGAAATTGGTCGTAGAATTTTTGTTATTTGGTAGGGTTAGGGCTCATTAAAAATGCTTTTAATGGATTTGAGCATCTAGAGGGTAATTGGAGGCATCGAACTAACAATAATTTGAGGGCACTACCTATCAAACTGAAAAAATATCGAGCCTTTTGATCGGTATATACCCGCGGCGCGCGCGCTTTTTTGCTCGACGACATTTTTCGGGCTGGAAAAAAGTTAAGGGCCACTGAACCAAATTTTTTCTGTGCAATAAGTATTAGATAACTTGTGATATCATAAAATGCAGATGGATCAGAGATTGCTTTAAGGAAAATTCGGAGCGAGCGTTTTCTCTCGCGCAGGTAATTAATCGCCACCCTGTAGTATAAAATCGGAATGGCTAATAACAAACCAAAACTAAAACTTGTTTTGACTAGCTAAAGGGGCAATGCAGCAGCACCTCACTGTCAACGCGTGCGGCCGCGTTACGTGTTGCGTTTTCGCTAGACCCGCCGTTGGATGCGACACACGACGCGCACGTGTCGCTTGCGAAGCCCTGATGTGATTCACCCACTGGAAAATCTGATCAGCCACCGGTCTAGTTCGACTACGTGCGACTACAGTGAACACCCTGATTTCATGCGTGAGGTGCAAAGTAGCGTTTTCAAGATTTCCAATATGGCCTTCTTCGTCCATTAAAAATGATGTTTTATCCACAAGCTTGAAACCCAGTGTAAGCGAGGTCATGCTTTAGCGCGTCCATTGGTGTACCGCGTCGTCTAAGTCGGCTACGCGCGGCTCCATGGAACACTCATATATTCTGCCCGCGTTCCACATTAGAGTTTTCACGGCTATGTTATGAACTCCATGATCGCTTGAAA